GGTACGTACGAGTTCATGATAGTTCGTAACAATTGTTACAAGTCATCATCATTTGGCGCAACACAGTACAATGCAAGCTGAACGTGAACTTTTTATTTTGACCAATATTTTCTTTATTACTTCACTTTTGTTAATATGTTTATCAAAACATAGAGAATTGAAAAATCTTTCAGAATTATAGATTCAAAGTATTTTAAGATTCATATTTTTTTTTTTACTCTAAAATATTACCAGGGACCCAATAGTTCCATTAATCAGGTTATTTCTCTTAGTATGTTATATTCCAGCTGGTATTAGTATCTTCAGGTATGTTAAACGTTGCTCCAACGTGCAAATGTTTCTGCTGTGCTTACGTCTTCAAATTATTTATATCTTATGTATGTGATATCGTTGTTAAAATGTAAAAGATTTGCGATTTGTTGGTTGGAGACCTTACGGTCTACAAGTAACCTGGTTATTGCTCAATTTTAATAGTTATAATTATGTATCAAATTGTATTAAATTTGTTTTATTTGTGTTTAAATGGCAGAGAACTAAGTATCGCCAACTTATTCCTCCAAGCTAATAATTTTTTAATTATTCGTCAGATTATAGTTTTTAAAAAGTAATTATATAGAAAAATGTATTTCTTTAATATATTTCATCATTTCATTTCTATGAACAGTTATGCTAAAGAATTTTTCACTTCACAGTTCATTTGTTCATACGGTAGTACCGTTTCTACGGTACGCAATTAACATTTTATCAAATTGCAACTATTTTATTATTTTTATCAAAGTAATACGAGTGTAATTTTATTCTATAGCTATTATCTTTAGTTTATTCAAAATTAAAATATTGATTTAACGAAACGACTACATTTTTTATAATTATTTCAATCTAAGTTTTCTAAGTTTTTCATATCCGAATTGCGATTGCTCGATCCTCATGGCCGAAGAGCCATTTTGCATTTCGATTTTATGCATTTTTCCCATATAAAGTGTGTTCGAAATTGGATGAAAATGTTTGCACCGTCAGCAAAAAATGTGAAATTAAAGCTCAATTGAAAGCCTGTCTTAAAGAAAAACAAGCTCATTTCGGTGAAAATCCTCTCGATTGTGGAAAACTAAACTAAAATACAGACAGATCTGGCCCGCAAATATGTGAGCGCTCCATCCGCCAGCGTTCTAAGTGAACAATTGTTCAGTGCAGCCGGCCTTATATACGAGCCTCTAAAAACTCGCCTCATGGGAGAAAAGGTAGCAAAATTACTTTTTTTTTTTACTTAAATAAGCGCATTTTGAACTTTGACTACTAGATTAAAACACTGTATAGGTTAAGCACTCCTTCAATGTTTTAATAATTTACAAAATTTTTAAATATTAAAAACAATGACTTAAGTTGATTATAGCTTTTTTAATCTTATTCCTAACAATCGCATTCCGAAAATTTGCATTCACATTCGCATTCGCCAATGTGAAAAATATGACATTCGAAACATCCCTAGTACATACACATGCTCAAGAAAGAATGTTACTCATACGCCATGTAGGTAAGCGTATCAGTAAAATTTCCTTTTTAAAGTTTGAATATTTCAAATGAAAATATGCGTACAGATCCTTAATCTACAACCCATAATTAAGTTTACGTTTATCGGCGTTTTTTGTGTCATTTTAGCGTTCCTACAGTGTTATTGAAATTGTTGTACACTGGGTTTTTTGTGCGCACATTGAAAACAGCTCTGCTGGCATATACGAGGGTAACCATCATGAAAGTTTCCGGAAAAACAGAAAGAATACAAATTTAATGTACACGCGTACATATACGGTTTCAGGCGGTATTAAAAGACTAGTGTGTTTTCGCGTGTTGGTCTGCTCAGGCCGTCTGAAAAGACAAGTGTGTGCAGACCCAATAATTCCTCGCATAGCATCGATGTTTTCTGCAATAACGGCGGTTGATCGACGTCCTTCGCGGAGTTCAACTGTGGCTTTTGATGGCGTTCTATCGCCAAAGGCCGAATAAATCCGTTAAATGATTTTTTGTTAAGCCGCACTTGAAATTGTAAAAAAATTAAGGCACATTAAACAAGTAGCTGCGGAAGGCTTGTAATTTTGAATTTTTCATTGGAAGTGGCATACGAATTGTCAGTTTTGTTTACTCTGCAGTGCTAAATTTTGTTTACTTTTTTGACGTTTTCGAGTGAAAAAAACAACAACCATATCCACGTAGCTTGTTGTTTTTGTTTCTGCTACCTGACTAATGGGACCAGAGATTTCCATTTTTTCACAAAATTTATATTTTTTTTTGAGACGTGATTAAATCAAAATTTGAAATTTTCATCTGGCGATGTTGTTTAACTCAATAGATGTAAAATTTTCGAAAATCAAAAGGTGACATGCAAAAAATACCGTCGTTTCTGGTAACTTTCAGGGTTACCCTCATATAAGTTCAACTGTCTGCTTAAAATAAGTTTATCTTAGATTTCAGCCATAAGCGCTCTGTCCGCGCGTGCCCTAAGAGACCAAACACTACCCTTCGCAGGGGAAAAGCTCAAGGTACCTCTTAAGACTCGCATTGCTCTAACCGAAATTCGTACTGGTTACCCCTTTCCCTTTGATCTGGCCTCGTCGAAACTATTAAAGGTCTTACTGATTTGTATAGAGTTTTTAACCTGAGCCCATGTAACTATATATGTACAATGTACATATATATTGTACATAAATACATACATAAATGTATAAAAAGTCCAATTTTCAAATATGTAGCGTAGCTCAGCTGTCGACTTGGCAACTACACATTTTTTTGGAATCAATCTCGTCGTGCTAAACATATCCATTTCTTATCCTATTATTTTGAAACCAGACACACATCGAACGCTGCCTCGGCTACAAACTATTTAAACTGAATTTCGGTGAAAGCAATAAAATTATTTGATCAATTTAAACCAAAACGTGTAACCAGAGGCGCACCCAGAAATATATTTTTGGGGGGTTTATACTTCTAAATATTTATATATCATCAGAATATACTGCTAATCCGCTTCAGATAATACGCCCTGCAAGTTTTATGTACAGTATGTAATAAATAAAAAAGAACTGTTTAACTGTTCGTAGTATTTTTTCTTCTTTTATGTATGCCACCGCATAACTTTGAACCGATTTCACTAATTTTTTTTTTTTTTTATCTGAAAGAAGGTACTTGAAGGGTCGACCCGTAATTTGGTTTAAGAGCGAAATACACCACACAAGCGGCTTGTCAAACATTCTTCAAACCTACTTTTCCCATTTCGCCATACACCATGCAAACATGACTCGTTCAAGCAAAGAATTTTAGTTTTCTTCCAGTTCGCAATGCTAAATATTGTGGTTTTCTTTCATTTTCCTCTCTTACGTCCTTACTCGGTGAAAATTTCGTTGCGAATGAGGCGATTTTGCTATACACAACGCAAGCGGTTTGATCAAACATCAACATGGCGGCCAGAAAATCAAAAAATTTTGATTTTTGCTCAAATTTCCCTCAAGCGGTTTGTCAAACCTTCAAACACCCCCATACACAGCACAAATGGCTTGAAGCAAAGGGAAATTTCGCTTGGTTTGTCAAACCGCTTGTGTGGTGTATTTCGCTCTTTAGATCAGATCATTGCACCATGAAAAAAATAACGGTAACCCTAAATTTGTCTATGAGGATTTAAGACGGCTGTGTTTTTTGCTTGAAAATTACTTGTTTAATAAAAAGTTCTATAAACACAAGATGCGCTCAATTTTTAAAAGTAATAAAAAATCTTACAAAAGAATTTTAATATAAATTTATTATTTAATTCCATGTAATTTTTACACTTTATGTTCATGTTCCTCGATTTCTGATTTCAGGTTTTCGTTAGAGATGGTGAGTTTTGCGATTGCCTCATTTTCCATTTCGCTTTCCTTCAAGAAATAATTGTTGATAATATATTTCTTCACAAAACCAGAATTGCCATATTCGCATTTTATTTAAAAAAAATGTAGTAAAAAAAGTACTAAATTTCTTAAGAGCTGCATACCAACTTAAGAAAACTTCACATACTAAATTTTCTTGAGCATTTATTGTACGATACTTGTGGATACTAAGCTAAAGCTTTAAGATACAGTTTGTAATTGAGGTTACCAGCATAAGAAAACTTCACATAAGAACTTTTCTTGCGCATTTCTTGTACGTCATTTTATATGGAGTTTTTGCTTTTCTTGAGAGTTGGATACTAAGCTCAAGCTTTAAGATACAGTTTGTAATTGAGTCTATGAGGTTTGGGGGGGTTTGAACCCCAAAACCCGTCCCTTGTATGCGCTAATGCGTGTACCTATAATAAAACATTTCTAAATGTCGCATACATATGTAATGACAAATACATGTGCATGCATGTATATTTATATAGATTATAATGCACACCTGTGTTGAGCGTGGCGTGCAATGCGTATCCTTAAATTTGTGTAAACTAAAAGTGAAGTTTTATCGATATTCCAACAACGGCCATAGGCGCGATTTCAGTTGTCAAAAAAAAAGTACTGCATAAAATATAGACACGCGGAGACCCAATAACAACCGATTGGGGCACCACTTAAATCACGTGCTTAGTTATAAAAATAAAAGAAGAAAAAACTTGTCGGCATTCGCATGCCAATTGGTGTGTTCATGTTCCAACGAGGTTGTGTGCATATAAGTGCATATGTATTGGTAAGGATAAAATAAGTAAGAATTCTCAAGGCAAAGATCTATGTAAACATAAATTGCAGGTATGTAGATACTACGCTAAATAAATAAATAAAAAGTAAAATTAAATAAATAAAACAAGCTTACATAAATTAAAATAAATCAATATATGTAAATTAAACTAAATATTTAACTACTGGCACATCATAACAAACATAACATACCATATCATAACATT